TTTAGCGAGCCTACTTTTCGACCCTCCGGAGCCCCAAATCATTGGAAAAACACAGTGTTTCGCGACTTTCCTACCTTTTCTCGCATCTGCATCTTCTTTCTTCTGACTCTTTCTCTTCTTCTCTTCTCTCTTCTGATCTTTCTCTTCTCTCTGCCTCTTCCCTGCTCTGCTTTTCATCTGTCCATATTGTCGGAAGTTTGACTTCTAAACTTCCTTCGACCAAAAAGTTGTTAATTATTTGGATTTTGCCAATTGGTGAATAGGAACCGAGCCAACCTCCAGTGCAATCACCTACATCATGATCATGAAGCAATTTGAACATGGCACAAATATGGGTGTCTCTAAAAGATTGTTCATTTATATACCCTATAAATTGCTATATGTAGTGAGGAAAATTTATGATTAACCCATGGTTTTAATGGGATTTTCCCATATTATCCACGTAATTTTCAGATAGATCCACCCATGGAACCTTCCAAAACATTCCAAAACAAGATTGAAAAATGATGGTTGTGTTTTCGCAGGTTGCATGTTGAATTTCAAGCATACCCCTCAACATCACCGTGAAGATATCGAAGGTTAGCCCATGTTCGATAGTGTCCGATGGTATCAGGTCATTTTAACAATGTTTAATAATACCACCCAGGCTATTCATAACATGTGTAGTATATATAGATGGTTTGTCAAAATGTCTTTGTCTGGTTTGGTTGATAAATCGGAATTCCATGCGTGCCGCTTCATATTTGAATTTAAATAAAATGACTTATCTAAATAGTCTAAAACATTGCATTTTATCTTTTATGTCTGAAACCGAAGCTAAAACCTGCAGGAAATGCTAACGCACATCTATATGGAGTGGGTTCGGCTGCTAATTGTTAGTCGTGGAAATTCAAGAATTGTTCATCTGCTGCAAGGCTTGTCGTTGCCTTTGCTGGCACTATTGCTTTTGTCAAACAGAAAGGACAAATTCAAGTTCTCTGACGGCGACTGGGTCACGGGTCAGCCAAAGCCGCTTTTTGCAACTTTTGCTAGCGCATTGCAAGCGGGGATCTAGCGGGTAAAATTAGATATAAATTTGCTAAATTGAACGACTAACTTAAAAACATAGGAAAATGGTTGGGTAGCACAGCATTGCACTAAGACATCCTTAGGTTTAAGGCGCTACGTGTTATATCTTATTATTTATCTTCATGTTGAAATACCAAGGGGTCGGCAACACATATAAACATATTTGAACATGGATGTTAAAAATAACTAGCGCAAACCTAGCGGGTTTGCTAGCGCTGCCTTGCAGAATTGGTGAATTTAGTTGCGTGCCGCCTCATAACGAAGAGGAAAAACCACTAGATTTACACTAATTATCAACAACTAGTACAAAACTTCTGTCAACTATTTTTGGCAAATATATATATATATGTGCAATATCCCAAGTATTCTAAAGAACAATGGACACTTCAAATTCCCTTTTCCTGAGGTTTGAACCAAAATGGAGACCCTGTTTTCTGTACTCACAGCGTTCCAACGCAACCATCTGAAGCAGAAGCTAATCGCATCTCACCCCGCCTTCCGCTGGAATTTGCGGTAGCAAATCTTCAGGCGAGAGCGTGCCCAGGGCCTTCAACTCGCTTCGACTCGCTGCAACCATGGAGGAATACCATGTACATATACACCCTCTAGTAATTTGACAAAGACCTTGAACATCACACCACTTTATGGAAACGAATCTTCCCCCAACTCATGGCGTCTATCCTGGATCGAAGTTCACGCAGTTCCTCGCGATGTTGGGTCAAAACTGTTGGATTGTTGGTTGATAAAAAGCTTCTAATTGTGATTGTTATTTCAACAAAAGTTATCTGGTTGGTGGTATACCTACCCCTCTAAAAAATATTAGTCAAATGGGATTATTGTTCCCAATATATATATATATATGGAAAAAACATGTTCCAAACCACCAACCAGTTATTATAAACTAGACCATATAGTTATGTGTTCATTGTAAATCCATATTTACAATTCGATATGGGGGGTTCGATTAATAAATGGGGGTACCGCAATAGCTGGATGGTTTATTTCATGGAAAATCCATGAAAATCCTACTATAAACATCTATAAACATCTGTAAACTGGATAATTTGGGGGTACCCCCATTTTAGGAAACCTCCATTTTGACTCCATACATTTACAGTTCACTGGGTGGATATAAACCAACAACTTATAACTAGACCGTGGCTTATGGATCTGGAATACCCCAAGAGGGAAACCAATGGTTTTGGGGTACGAGTAACACCCAAATTTGAGAAACCCAGATGTTACGATTATGGATTCCACTAAAATACTAGGAGAAACATGTATTCACAGGGGTGCATATCCAACAGCGAATTCACACTTAAGAGGTTCGCCCCCTGCCCCCTTTTTTGAAAGGTAAGTATATCGCCTTTACAACGGTTTGGCTCCTTTTTCTCCTCTCAGGTGATCAAACATGATCATGGAACATGACCATGAAAAATGTCCTGCATGGAGGAGAAAATCAGCGGGGATTTCTCCATTGGCAGGTTGGCCAAACAGCGTGGGGCAATTCTGCAGCAGTCACCCAACATTTGATTTTTAACCACATTGTTTTTGTGATGTTCTGTGCTGAAACAGCAATGTTTTTGTCGGTACCACCAGTGATCCAAAGCCATCGACAAAATGTGTCTGACAATAGATGGACTTCAGCCACCTAATTACCATCTGGTTATGACTAACATAGCCATGGAAAATCCCTTATAAATGGAGGTTTTAATGGGAAAATCATCTATAAATGGGCCATTTTCCATGGCTATGTTAAATAACCAAAGGGTAGCATCTTTTTGTTTTGGGTTGTTTTGGGTCACAAGTCACGCATGATTCACATGATACTAATGTTTTTTCTTGCCTTTACAGCATCGAGGGCCAATCACCGTGTAAAACACATTAAAACACTGGTTTCTCCAAAATGGGCGACTTGGTGTCGATCTACAACAAACAGAACATTCGCAAAACTTGGTTTTTCTCGAGTGACACCCCCCAAAAAAAAAGTCCAGTAGATTCCCCACAGATGTACAACATTCACCACTTGGAAAACCACATATCTCCTTCAGCAGATCCAGCCTTGAACATCGTGCGTACCACATTGGGCATGCAACATGTGGCTCCTCAGCTTCTAGCGACCGAAGGTTTTCGACATGGTTTTGAAATGTGTTGATTGGCGTTGTGCTTGAAAATCCATTACAGATGATTTTCCCAGCTGGTTGGTGGTTTCAACCCCTCTGAAAAATATGAAAGTCAAATGGGATCATTGTTTCCAACTAAGTGGAAAAAATCATGTTCCAAACCAGCAGCCAGCCAGCTATTGATATCAAGTTTGAGCTACCCTCCGGTAATTTAACATAGCTATTGAAAATGGCCCATAGAAATAGTTGATATACCCATTAATAGCATGGTGATTTTCCATAGTTCTGTAAACGTTTACCAGACGGAAATCAAACATGACATGGAACATCCTCCATTTTGATGCTTTAGCCTTTCAAACCTCCATGTTTTCTGCGAGGTTTTTGGTCACCTTTGATGACTCTTTCGGGTGTCAGGTCCGTGCCGGGGCAAAGGATGCGCTTTTTTCACGCACAACTCGAAACTGTGACAAGATCGCAATAAATAGTGTTTTTTTTCCACATGCAAATGATGTAAATATAACATAATATAACTATACATGATATTTAAGTGGGAGCTACATGGAAATACTGTGACAAAGCATCATGAACTGGGAAGTCTCCAAATTTGCCATTCATACCCACAATATCATCAAAGCCCCCTTGATTTTGCCTACGCACATATTCGTGTTCACAACATGTTCTGGCAAAATTGTGGTTGCTACAAATGTTGCCAAATTCAGACCACTGACGTTAAATTTTGACTGGTTGGTGGTTTTAACAATCTTGAAAAATATGAAAGTCAGTTGGAATGATTATTCCCAACTGGGTGGAAACATAAAAAATGTTCCAAACCACCAGTGAACCAATATCAGCACTGCAAAACCCAACATTTGGTTCACTGGGATTGATCAACATTTCATCTGGTACAACTGGAACTCTGTTTTTACACAATCTGGGGTTATGCCTAGCTGTGGTATCTTGAATGATCACCATCATGTTGGTGAAGTCCGACATTCCAGTCTTTTAGTGAAATCCCTCACTTAAATTCCCAATCAATGTCATGAACAAATCCAGTTGTAAACCCAATGATAACAACTCATAACACCACCAAAAACCAGAAACCGTAGAACAGTTGAGCACTTGGAACATACTGGCCGGAAGCATCCTCTAGACCATCCTGGAAACACGTGGTTTTGCCATCTTTTCTGGGGTTGCTATCGTCATTTTTCCTGAAATCCCGTCCTTGGTGTAAGAAAGCCTCAGGGCAGCCATGCAGGTCAGCCGGAGCTACCTGAGCGATGAGCCAAGTCTCGATGCTGGAAAAAGATCCTGCAGTTGGAAACTATGACAGGTAACTCATAAAAGTACCCTCTGGTTAACTAACATAACGATGGAAAGATCCACCATTTTTAATAGGAAGACTCACTATTTCTATGGCCATTTTCAATAGCTATTTTGAATTACCAGAGGGTACCATAATCACATATGATATGGTAAGATAATCATAAAATGGTATGATATGGGAACTCATCCAACTGGTATGACATAGGAAAAGTACCACAATCACATATGATATGGCAACTCCATATGAATCAGAACACATCCACTACAGGACGGTGCCCTGTAGTGATGTTTGTTGGTTCATAACCCCCATGAAAACTAGTTCCTTATGTCTACCATATACCATAGAATTCAGCCACTTATAAGTATCTTGGGGGGGTTATCTTGCAACTCATAAAATCTAACAAACAAAGTACCATCATCACAAATGTGAAGAAAAAAGTTTGCACATGGCTGGTAAACAAAGGAAATACCCAAGCCATGTATATATATATATGGTTTACTATCCTCTAACTATCTGGAATGCCTTCAGCGGAAACAAGGTACCTTACCCAGGATCCAGCTAGTTAGTAGCCAGAATCATACCCCAAATCCTGCGAAAACCCTTAAGGCATAAGGCTGAGACTATGGGTTAATCAAACGTCAAACTATGTTGAATAAACTGGAATTAAATTCACCAACCGGAAAAGATTGGCGTGTTGATGAATGTGTAAAGAATCCCCCAATCCTAAGTGTCATTTACTAACATGAAGCTGCAATGAGGTCGAACAAATCATATATCCATATGTTGAAAAATACAATTGATTGACATCCAAATATATGTCGGGGTGTGCCAAAACGGGGTGTAACCCTAAAAATATGTCAACACTGCTATAGAAATCGAAGATTCGAAGATTCACCAGATATATCAGTGAATGTCCTGGACATTCTCTTTTCAGACCTCCAATTTCTGGTAAATTATTAATATTATAATATTTCACTAACCTGAATCTCGCGGCCATTGGGAATGATTTCCCTAAACCATGATTCCAGTCGCTCGCTTCGTGAGGTCGAAGCGGAATCACCGCCGTTGGAATCACCGCCCTAAAACGCCAGGGTGCTAAAGGATGTGGACAGCAAGCAACGAGCAGTTGCAGAGATGGAAAACCTGGACTCCACGACCATGGAACTGAAGAAACCCATGAAATTTGCATGTTTTTTTTCTGGTCATGGATTACTGGTTGGTGGTATACCTACCCCTCTGAAAAATATGAAAGTCAAATGGGAAGGATTGTCCCATATATTATGGCAGAGTAAAATTCATGTTCCAAACCACCAATCAGATTAAGTTTACTGGTCATGGAACTAGAACCATTGTTTATCATCATGTTTTTTGATTTGAAATGGTCATGGTTTTATGGTCATATTGGGATTATCCATGGCAATAAGATGGTTTTATGGTCATGGAATAATGGTTTTCCATGGTTTTATTGTCATAAATCATGAGTCCGGGGAAAAGTTTCCATGGTTGTATGGTCATGAAATAGCAATAGATGAGTCCATAAACCATGTTTATACATGATAATTCCATGGATTAAAATACTGGATGGAAAAATGGTGTTTCAATGGGATTATCATGGACTTATCATAGGATTAAGGATCGATTGGGCGTCATAGTTGAGTAAGCTGATACGCAGTCCCACCTTGTGAAGAGATCCAAGGAATCCAAGGGTTTAAGATGGCCTAAGTGCGTATGAACATGTGGTATATACCATGTATCTGGGTAAACTATACTATTTCACTAACCTGAGATAAAACTAATATTGGGGTAATTCTCCGTAAATAACCATCAATGCAGTGAGGTCGCAGTGAGGTCGTTCGATTTATCGAGATGATCCCAGATGTATATACCCAATTTATGGCCAAATAAAAGGGATCATGATGACAAGTAAATTTATATAACTGGTTTTCCCATCATGTAAAGACACTCCCATTTTCACCAACAGCAAATTTCAGCAAAACAACGTGTTCGGTTCTGGTTAACCTGGGTAATTTGAAAGTTGTTCAGTTCTGACCCAAATTACGATAACGTGTCAATTTTTGGGGTACCCAAACATGGGTTGTTTTAGGAACCCCAAACAATTGAGACATCTTGTTTTTTGTCAGTTATGCATGATAATAGCAAGAAACATGTAACATAGCAAACATGGACGGTTTGACTCAGACATGTAGTTTTAAGACATGTGCATGCGGATGTACCATCTGGTTTTTTTATTAACATAACCATGGAAAATCACCATCTTTAATAGGTAAACCATCTCTAAATGGGCCATTTTCCAAAGCTATGTTAAATAACCAAAGGGTATATTCTCCCGAACATGTGATTTCAACGAGTCAACGAATCACGAAGGACAGTTTTAAACCCGCATGTACCCATGCGATCCCGACAGTGAAACTATCATGTTACATTTATGTGTGTGTTCGGTCATCTTAAAAGTGTTGGCCATATCAGCAGAAAACATTATTTCCATGTCCATGGTTCACCACCCAAAAAAATATAGACGCCTGATGGTTAAAGCACCAATGTCACTATATATATATAAATATATTTATCCAGATAGATAGATAGACAGATAGACAGACAAACAGAAAGAAAGATAGATAAATCGGTAGATAAATAGATAAATTCAGATAGATAGATGGAAAGATAGATAGATAGATAGATAGATAAATAGACAGATAGATAGATTCAGATAGATAGATTCAGATAGATAGATTCAGATAGATAGATTCAGATAGATAGATTCAGATAGATAGATTCAGATAGATAGATTCAGATAGATAGATTCAGAAAGATAGATTCAGATAGATAGATTCAGATAGACAGATTCAGATAGATAGATTCAGATAGATAGATTCAGATAGATAGATTCAGATATTCAGATAGATAGATAGATAGATAGAAAGATAGGTAGATAGGTAGATAGGTAGGTAGGTAGGTAGGGTAGGTAGAAAGATAGATAGATAGATAGATAGATAAATAGATAGATAGATAGACAGATTCAGAGAGATTCAGAAAGATTCAGATAGATTCAGATAGATTCAGATAGATAGATAGATAGATAGGTAGGTAGATAGATAGATAGATAGATTCAGATAGATAGATAGATAAATAGATAGATAGATAGATAGATAGTTAGATAGATAGATAGGTAGATAGTCAGATTCAGACTCAGATTCAGGTTCAGGTTCAGATTCAGATTCAGATTCAGCTAGGTAGATAGATAGTTAGATAGATAGATAGATAGGTAGATAGATAGATAAATAGATCGATCGATAGATAGATAGATAGACAGATAGATAGATAGATAGATAGATAGTCAGATTCAGATTCAGATTCAGATGCAGGTTCAGATTCAGATTCAGGTTCAGATTCAGATAGATAGATAGACAGACAGATAGGTAGACAGACAAGCAGACAGGATAGATAGATAGATAGATAGACAGATAGATAGATAGATAGATAGATAGATAGACAAACAAGCAGACAGGATAGATAGATAGATAGGTAGATAGATAGATTCAGGTAGATAGATTCAGATAGATAGATTCAGATTCAGATAGATAGATAGATAGATGGATAGATAGATAGACAAACAAGCAGACAGGATAGATAGATAGATAGATTCAGGTAGATAGATTCAGATAGATAGATTCAGATTCAGATAGATAGATAGAAAGATAGATAGATAGATAGACAGACAGATAGATAGACAGACAAGCAGACGGGATAGATAGATAGATAGATAGATAGATAGTTAGATAGATAGATAGATAGGTAGATAGATAGATAGATAGAAAGATAGATAGATAGTTAGATAGTTAGATAGATAGATAGATAGGTAGATAGATAGATAGATAAATAGATTCAGATAGATAGATTCAGATAGATAAATAGATAGATAGATAGTTAGATAGCTAGATAGATAGATAGATAGGTATATAGATAGATAGAAAGATAGATAGATAGACAGATAGATAGATAGATAGATAGATAGATAAATAGATTCAGATAGATAGATTCAGATAGATAAATAGATAGATAGATAGACAGACAGATAGATAGATAGATAGATAGGTTCGATAGGTAGGTAGGATAGATAGAGCGGAAATTACCAAAGCCTCACTAAGTGCCATGCTTCATGGTTCTTCCCAAATATACACGGATAATAAATAGATATCGATAGAGTATAGGTTTATCCCAATTGCATACGTATTCATGTAAACATGATTAGTCTCAATCAATCGCAAATACATATAGATGTAAAACAAAAACTGAAACACACATATTATATATCACAAACATAAACCGGCAATTAAATACATCCAACGCATAGGAACAACTATTAGGTCAAATGTGCGGAAGTGTGATGGGGAGTACATATATGAGGACCTCAAGGGTCTTATACAAATGGTTACGGCACTACACCTCCTAAATACATAGTAACTATTACCTATCTCAGCGGCAAGTGGAAGGTTAGGGTAAATGTTGACAATCTATAAATAAGGACCTTATCGTATTGGGTAATTGTAGCTATAGCAGCTATATATGTGATATGCCAATCTATGACAGCCAAATCCTTTTTTTTTTTGACGTCATGAATGATGTGGTTGCCCTCAAAATAGTCACCTCAAGCTCTCGCTTTTGTCAGTTCATCGCGCGGATGTAGCCGGTTACATCTTGGAGTTTGCCACAGGCAGTACGACTTACCATCAGTCTTCGCGGGACAGGTTGTACGACTTACCATCAGTCTTCGAGGTGCCACGGCTCACCAGTAGTCTTCTCGGTGAAACGGGAACTCCGTCACGAACCAGTTGGGGCTGTGGTGCCTTGCCTGTGAATTGTAGTCCTTCAAGTCAAACACAGTGCTGTCTGGACGAAGGCAGGAATGGACAAATCGATGCCCAGCAAATCGACCAAAGCCTGCTATTTCACCCTGAATCCCCGACCCCAACTGGTTCAGGAGTACGGGGGGTGGATCCTACATTTCTGATAATGTATGAACATAAGGGGGGGGTTAACCCCCTCACTTTTTGCCAAAAATGTATGGGAACTAGGGGGGGGGTAACCCCTCAAAATGAGGCATGTATGAGTGCTAGATGCTGGACATGTATTTTTGGTAGGGGTATTGAACCTGAAAATGTATGCTTTGTGGGGGGCACCACTGACAAGAGCCAATGGATACATAAACTTTCTAAATGTATGCAAGCATGGGGGGGTCTGCACCTCAATCCACTTGATCTTTTTTTCCTGGGAAACCTACTGAAACCCATGGGGAAACCTGGGAATACCTGGGGTCACCGAAAATATTCTGCGCTGAAGACCCCGTTAGCTTACGCTTTTGCATTCTTTTGGAAACAAACACATGCAAACATATGCAAACACGATCAAGCACGCATCGCTCCCACTCCGAAGACATGACACTATTTTCATGGGACCTCGATGGGCCTCGTCAAGATTTGTTCGGGTTAGACCGTTTTTGGCCTGCATCATCCTGCATCTATTTGGCAAGTGTTTCACCAAATTTCACCCAACTGACATGTTTCACCAAGTAGGCACAGATGTGTTCACATCCTCCCAAAGCCTCTTGGTTGTCAGACACGCTGCATCGCACATCGCAAAAATTGTGTAAACTTGATCTTAAATATTCTGAAATGTATGCATTGCAGGGGGTACCAATGACTACCTCAGCCAGATCTATTCCCTCCATTTTCCAAAAATGATGTGCTTTTCGGCTACCCAACCCCCTTAAAATACATTTTTCAAAGAAGGGTATTCGCCAGAAAAAAATTAAACATTCCCGGGGATCCTGGAAAAACCAAACCCGTAAAATGTATTAAACCACCCCCCCCAAAATAAAAGATCCTGGGGGGGTTGGATATCCCGACCCATGGATCCTACATTTAACGTACACCCACCGGTCAAATAATGTATTTAGGGGGGGTCCTGGGGAATCAAATTCTTGGAGAACGGTTAATGTATTTTTTTTTTACCTGACCTCTCCCCCCCTAAAATACATTTTTAGGGGTGGGTGATCACCCTGATATTACAACCCTTCTCGTCAACGAAGGGTCGAAAAACAACTTCAAAAAAATCTGTGCTTAGTC